GTTCACCATATTGTGTGTACTTTGTACGGCTCAGAGTTTTAGCTGCGGTCGGGTGTTACGGTGCATAACTGTTGTGTATGTCAATAGCTGCAGATCGTATACCGACTCTCGCTGGTCAGTAACATTCATGAAATATACGTTTACATTTGGACCCACGTATTTTATTAATGTGTCTGGATTCATGCGGTAACTTCTGGAACTTCTCTGGATGTTCCAAGAGCTGATCATATAGGATACTATTGGATACTATCAACATTTCGGCTCCAATAAGGGGGTACCCAATATTTTATTCACCCTACAGAATTTCATCAACCGATGACGACGTCGACATTTTCCAATGAACTGAGCACCAAAAAGTCTCACCTCTCTAATCTTGGTACTAGCACGTGCCACGAGCATGCAGGGTGCATGCGTCTCACACAGTGCTACTGGCTAGTCGCACCGTGCTAGATGCATATGCATGTAACCCAAAAGAATGTTAAAATCGTAAACAAGTTCAACGGTAGTTAGTTATTTGCACAAAAGGGAGTTGTTGCTTGTTACTATTTATTCACTTTTAGCGAATTTATGTGTCCGTGAACGCGATAACTCGAGTACTTATTTTTGTCAGATTTTGATGAAATTTTGTTTAAAGGTGTAAGGCGGGATAAACTTGAATGAGTTAGCGAACCAGCATTTTTAACAAACTAAAAACCACACTTTATTCGTTTCCTTGTAGCAGCAAACATAGGTACTCGTTAAACCTAATATTATTTAAATAGATTTAATTGAAAATCAATTCAGACAAATGGAAATTCGCCTAGTCGGCAGGTTTGCTGCGGCAGGGTATTTAATAATATGTTGTCAGCAATATTGCTTGACTAAGCTTGAAAAAAAGTACATCGATATTTGGTAAATAAATATTAATCTACGCCCAATCGTTACCGATACAGCCTATCTATATCTATAAAAGAGGAACTATGTATGTGTATATACGTTATGGACTCCGAAACCGCTCTACAGATTGTAATGAAACTTTCAGGCATTATTAAGCATCTTTCAAGGATGGTTCGAGTGAAGTTTGGTGCAGATCCGTCAAAAGGGCTCAGCCCCAGAGGGTTTTAAGTGGGCCAATGTCAGACTTTTTGATCTAGAATGTTTACAAATAAATATAATTTAAAAGCAGATGTTTACTTTCACCAACTGTTTTGTACGTTTGAATAACTACAACATTCTGTATTAGCATTAGTCATGATTTGAAATAGTGCCACAGTGTTTCTACAGATTGCAGCACAGAAAACTATATTACTTTTGAATAAGTCCAAATGTATTAAACCCCAATCGCAGCACACCTGTGCACTTAACAACGTTTAAATTCTCCAATGTTAAATATTAAAACATAAAAACCTTTATAAAAGTACTGTATTATAAACAATTAAAGGGATGACTTTTTTAAATGTATGACAACAGCTAATTTGCAACCAAAAGGTGAGTGAGCGTAGCGAACGAACATCAACCTGGAGGCGAGTAAGCGTAGCGAACGAGCTAACCTGAAAACAAGTGAGCGCAGCGAACGATTTCCAACTTGAAGGTGAGTGAGCGTAGCGAACGAACTTCAACCAGGGGCCCATTTCATAATAAACTACTAATTTCCATTAGATTTGCATTGGGCGATCAGCTGATTTACTAATAATATTAGTTTGTACTTTATTATGAAATGGGCCCCAGGACGTGATTGAGCCATGCGAATACTTATGAAGTTAAGCGGGGCAAAGCCCGCGGGTACAGCTAGTCTATACACAGGGTGTCCCGGAACTCTTTACCAATATTTTAGGGCATTGATCCTGGGTAAGAAACGTACCTAAATATCATATTTAAATTGTCCGGAAGTCCTTAGTTACTCACACAGCCGCCATTTTGTTTTTTTCAGTTATTAATTTGTTTCCAAAGAATGGTTAAACATACGAAATGGAAACTTTGCACAAACATTTATGACAACTAGACAAAGCTACAAAAAAATTATGATGATTTTTCAAATGCATAAAACAAAATGGCCGCCATTTAAAATTTTCTTTCTTAAATAACTCAAAAACCATTGATTTTACAAAAATTTTAAATGGCCGCCATTTTGTTTTATGAATTTGAAAAATCGTGATAATTTTTTGGTAGCTTTGTCTAGTTGTCATAAATGTTTGTGCAAAGTTTCAAATTCGTATGTTTAACCATTCTTTAGGAAAAAAATAATAACTGAAAAAACAAAATGGCGGCTGTGTGAGTAACTAAGGACTTCCGGACAGTTTAAATATGATATTTAGTTATGTTTCTTACCCAGGAGCAATGCCCTAAAATATTGGTAGAGAGTTCCGGGACACCCTGTATATAAAAGGCAAAGCCTTTACTGACTGACTGACTGACTCACTCACTCATCACTAATTCTCCCACTTCCCATTTACCTAGGAGGCTGAAATTCGATACACTGATTCTTTAGGCATTAAATAGGAAAACTAAGTTGTTTTTATTCTGATCGGACTTCCAGGCTCCGCCCCAGTGGCTCTGGAGTTTCCAATGTTAACCTTATGATTTTTCATATTTAAAAGAAATTAATGAATCTAAACAGCTGTTTCAATTAAATAAGTTGGTTCTGTTCTATGATGTTCAGCAGCATTATAAAGTTACAAGGTTTACCAACAGGGTGCAGCACTGTTAACTTTTTGTTTGAATTATTGAAAACAGCTAATTTGAAACCAAAAGGTGAGTGAGCGTAGCGAACGAACTTCAACCTGGAGGCGAGTTAGCGTAGCGAACGAGCTAATCTGAAGGCAAGTGAGCGTAGCGAACGAGCTCCAAATTAAAGGTGAGTGAGCGTAGCGAACGAACTTCAACCAGGACGTGATTGAGCCATGCGAATGAGCTCATCTTGAAAATTAAGAAGTTAAACGGGGCAAAGCCCGCGGGTTACAGCTAGTCTATTTATAAAGCCAAAAGTACCAATGAACTTTTGAGAAAACTATAAGTCGCAACCCCATAAACCATATACTTAAAAGGTTCGTCATGACGAGAAACCTTGCGCAAAACTATCCATTATTCCATAAATTGCCCTTTAAGGTGATAATTCCTTTCTAAAGATAATTTTCCAAGTACATAATGTAAAAAATACCTCAGCCGTACTTATTTGTATTTTATTCTTTCAATTTTTTACCTTATTAAAATCAGGTGTGATTTTTTGTTTGTATTACTGTATTCTGTTTTGTTTATTTAAGCTTAACTTAACCAGTCAATAGTTTTATTAACACTTATAATCACTTATGAAGTGAAGCGGGGAGAAGCCCGTGGGTAAGAGCTAGTTCAAATAATGCGTAATAGAATACATTTTTTCTAGATGTTATTTGTATTTACTGTATGTAGATCATTCGTCTTTGTGGGCTTAATTCACAGCATTTACATGCTCTAATAATATGGAAATATCAATTTTTTACAGTTCTTCGTTGTAGCAACCTTATACAGTAAACAATAAGAATCTATTCTTATATTCTTATATTTAATATTCTTATCTATTCTTATGTTTAGGCCTATTTATTTTGGGTGAATAATAAATTTTCTTTTACTATGTCAGAGTAAAAAGTTCTTGTGATAATAAAAAATAAAAATGACAACTCAATTGTTTTGAAGGTTTGCTGCGCCGGGGGTTAAAAAGGTAATCTATGTTTCTTAGGTTTAGTTGAGGATTACTGGGTTATAAATCGACTATTTCGTCCTAGGAGGTGCCAAATTTGAAGCAACCGTATACCTGTAAAAAATCTGTTACTAGATTGCCATAAATATTGGACGTTTAGAACTTTGATTCACTCTTCCGTTTTATAAATAGCAAGCGACCTGTATCTTGACTAATGTAAAAGCTATTTTCAATGACGGTTCTAATTATGCGACGACAAAGGCTCGTTCTAATTGACCATCCTCTAGAGTGTAATAAAGGTAATCTTTGTTTGCCAGATTGTTGGCAACTGTGGAGTTTGACTCCCAGAATACATGGCACTCACACATCAATACGTAATCCTGCCTTAAAGGACGCGAGTGACATTGCAACTGGCCATCGTGGCCAAATGACCGGCGCGGCGTCTTGCAGCGGACTTGTGCTGTAATGTGTTGATGGGCCATCGTCAATATCACGTTGATACGGTGCCAGCTCCAAAGCAGTTTAAATAAGTTTAATTGAATCTATGTAAGTTTATCTATGAAACGACATTGTTTAAACAAGATAGTGAGGTCCCATTAGCTGATAATTAGTTGTAGAATCAGGTGTCAGGTGTGGGTCCGGTTGTTACCAAGGGCTCATAAGTTATTTAAAGTAAGACACTACATCTATAATACAGCTTTTCAGAACAAAGAGTTGGATATATATGGGCTCTCCAGGTACATTTGCCACAGACGTTACGCGAGGGGATAAAATATTGTCGTGTGATGCTCGACTCAAAAACGTTTAATTTTATTGTTTATAATATATCTTAAATGTGTAACTGGTCACACTAGTTCCAAAAGTGGTCAGTTTAAATTGTACTGTGTTTTGTAATATGGGAATTAATTAATTTATTCATATAGTAATAAAAGTTACAAAAGGTTCTACCCGCGAATTCACGGGGGTGCAGAAGCCACCATTAAATTATTTTAATCAACTTTGACTTTATATTTCATTTAAAGGGCTCAAGTTCGAGGAATTCTTATCTGAAAGGATGTTAAAAGCAGTGAAACCTTCATACCTTACGTCCTAAGGTGGCCGAGGTGGGTACGGTTGTACCTGAACTCGCCGCTCTCTTCCACGACGTCTTTAATACTTATCAATAAAATGGCAACCTGTTAAAGATCGGTGACAACCTCTTGGAACGAACAACAAACATGTTTTGTTAGTCTCATACTCATCGTGTTTCGAAAACCTTTAATCACTCACTTGCATCAAACAGTTAGAAATAGCTTCACTGTTAATTCACCGCACCTCTTTTAAGGGCAATAAATAAAGTAAACAAAAGTGTAAACAAATAAACTGTATTGTCAATTGCATTGGCCATCTGTTGTTCACTAATTAATTCGAACAGCGTTAACTTCAAAACATGCAGGCGTAGGCCTTTGGAAATCAGCCTGTGGGGCAGAGTCCTTAGGGAGTTCGTCCATATCAATACTTTTCGGCAAATCTACACACTCTAAGCTTCATTTCGATATGCAATATGCCTATATTGTTATTTGGTAAACGGCCTTAACCGTTTACATAAAATTTGATTGTATCACTTTAATAATATAATAATAGATTAGAGGAAATTGTTAACATTTGTTGGACAAAATAGTGTCTAAAAGTGTGTAGGCATATGTCTTCTTTCAGTTTTATCCTCTTTTAGCGAATTTCCCTATAGGGAAGTAGCTATTATGATAAGTCGGTCTCATGGTTAGATCTGGGCCCGGGACCGATTTACTTTTTTCATTTTGATGTTCCAAGAGGCCAAAAACACCATTCGTTCAAATTATTATATGTCTGTGAATTTGAGTAATCTTTGACCTTTTTTGATGAAATTTGGCTTGAAGGAGTAGGGCAGGATAAACTTGAATGAGTTCGTGAACCAGCATGATCGGGCGGGGGGTTTTATGGGTTAAAAATGGGTTTATCTCATTTTTCCCTCAAAACAAAAAAATCCCAATTTCTCTTAGTACCATTTTTAGAGCTTACAAAACAAATAATTAAGTATATTGAAGGGGATTTAACGGTTATTGGTCACGGGAAAAATTCTAAAAATCGTAAATTTAAAATTACCATGCTATTCTTCTATGCTTATAGCGATTTTAAGTCGCTTAATTTTAATTCTTATTTCATTTTCTATTTTTTATTTTAAGTCTCAAATTAGGTATAAAACCTTTAAGAGTTTATGAATGTTGAAATATTTATCTATGTCACCATTTGTGAGTTATAAAGATGTTCTAAAGGCGTAACTTGAGTTTTAAGCAGTTGCTTGAAATTCCGATGCGTAGCCTATTATAGTATGAGCACCGTTAAAACATAGGTGATTTGATTGTTGAATTTGACATACTAGGCTATGTTCTAAAAGACCGTGGAGTTTTTTTAGAATTCAAACCACATGTTACAATGGCTACACCAACCTTCTATGCACCAAAACGAGCTTATAAAATGTATATCTTAATTTAATGCATTGATACCTACTATATGTAAGTATACTTGTGTTAGTTTGGTAACAAATGACAACAGAAGATAATTTTAGTGATACAGTATATGAAATTAATGTTCCTATCAAAGCTAAAAATGCCTGATTTAGTTAAAGGCTGACGTGGACATGGAATAAGATCACTAGTAAGCGGTTTATTTACAATCGATAATAAGTAATGATGAAAATTAGAATAATTGACACTGAAAACTCTCAAGAGTTATGAGAGAAAACATCTTTTTCTAAACAAGAGATGCGTATCTAATTTTATTTATAAAACTAGCTCAATCCAAATGTTACAACAATACTTAACCTTTATGTCGCCATCTGGTCTTACCGAGATTAAGGTGGAATCGATGCAGGGGTTTCTTCTAATGTAGAAAGTTTAAAGACGTTCTTGTCAGACTATTCCTGTGTCTATTGTAAAAACTTTGCCATCCAAAGTCCGACCCGAGGCCATAGTTGTATTATAACAGCAGCTCCTTATCTGCAGAAAGTGTATAACTGTTCTTGACCAACCATGCATGTGTCTGCACTGGTTGTATCAGTTTCTTACTTGTGGAAGGTGTCTTTTTGTATATAAATTTGTCTATGTCTGTAGCCTTGCCAAGTACTATTGACGTGATATCTGCTTTATATTTCGTAGAATTCGTATAGAATGTGTTCTTGACAGACTATTCCTGTGTCTGCAGCCAAGTGTTTACAACCAATGTCAAAGTTTGGTCTTGCCAGGTCATGATCGACATATGCTTTATATTTTGTAGAATGCGTCAGTGTCACAGTCTAGTTTAGTAACTACCACCTTGCCACTACAACGGCTGTGATGACCCATCCACTCGTTGTTTAATATTTTAATTAAACTCCGAGTACACGGCGACACTGTTCATGCCGTAAATCAAGCGCTATACGGTCGACATTAAAGTCCTGGTATATCACGGTTGCATTTCGTAGGCGCATTGTAATGCTCGGGCTCGCCGTAAACCTATTTTATGGTTTATTGCAGCCCATCAACGTCGACTGCAGCACTGCTGCGCTCGCAGATGGCCATCATTGCAATCTATTGTTTCTCTTTATTCTGTTTTCTCATTCAAACGTCCACATCAATTTTATTTTGTCCACTTTTATCACTTGAGTACGAGAAGTGAGGCATTTGACTTTAAACATCCATATTTAAAATACTGTTGGCTAGACTATAGACATTTATATCCTAAATACACATTTGGCTAAGTTTACTGGGTGGATTCAGTTAAACTCTAGCAAATATGTTTACTTGGTACCACTAAACAATTGCGCGTGATGCTGGTCGCTACGTCTTTATGTACATGTCTTCAGGATAGTAAAGGTATCGACATAATACAGAACATTTAGGCCCCGGTAACAAAAGACAGAACTTGTTGTTCTGCCACACTATTTTTACACAGCCTTTAATCAGGCAAGTATATTGTGAAAAATGATACAAAAGTGTTTTCTTATTTTCTCCAAGAAATTTCTTTAAACCACCTAATTTAGCGCAATAGAAGTATAACACCAATGATCCACACAATCTTTTAACGACTACCAAGAGAAAGAAAAGTCATTGCATCTTGTGTTCATGATCATGTCATCAAACTGCGTACATTCATCCGCGATCCGTGTATAGTTTCCAACAGTAAGTAGACCTAAGAGTTGATGTTCCATCTTCAGTGACTGTAGTCATAAGTTGTTCACTGTAGGTAGACTGCAGTGTGCAGATGCACTTACTGCGCGTCGCTCGTTAAAGTTTAATACTCGCCGTGTATAGCGGTTTATAGGCCTGCATCCAACATCGGTTCTGTTTACTCTTTAGCCATTTTATTGTGCAGGCGACATTTACTCAGCTGTTTATGACCTCGATATAAAGATCTGGACGATTTATAGTGGAAATTTTCTTACGTGATATGCACCCCAGGTGCGATTGATTCACTATCGGTACACTAAACAGACGGGTTACATCACTTTCTTTAACTATATTTTTCAAAGATGTAGAATTAGCTTTAGTGTAAGGCAAATTCTAGGGAAATAGATTAGGTTTATGAAAACTACATATACACTATTGTTTTAAATAACTGAAACTGTACATTGGTTTTAGTTTATAATCAGTTTTTGAGTTTATTTACTCATTGCTCTTGGTTAAAAACGATGATATGAATGTTAGAAAAATGTTTTGTTATTTCTTGGTGTGTTACTGAATCTTGTAGTCCAAATGGAACCTCCTTCTCATTGAGTTTGGAAAAAGTTCATCATCATTATTCCTTAACGTTGGTAAAAAGCTATTCAAACAGAACTCAACCAAATTCCAGAAGCAAAATGTTCAATTGTGTTATTACTTTTATGTTAGTGGAACATGTAGCTAATTTATTTAACATCGCAACATAAAAATGCTGATGGGCATCAAAAAGTGAGTCACGGAACGGTAAAAGTGCGTTAAAATATCAAGAAGAGAAGTAGAAGTCTAGAAGAGAAGAGGCGATAGCTAGTAGAGTTTTTTATGAGTTTCTTCATTACTTGAATCATGAGTCTGTATGATGTCTTTTAATTTTATGCTGGTTTCTTTCACGATTAAAGTCTTCGTGGAAAATTGAATCAAAAGAGTAACTTCCTACATGAGTAGCCAGACCACTTTGCTACTGAAGAGCTATGCAATTTTCAAAACACTTTTTGGATAAAATCTTTGAATGAAATAAAACTTTTATCTTGGAATAGAATAAAACCGATTTAAAAACAATATTTACTTGTCATTCAACTTTAAACTTACAGCATTTTTGTTTGAGTGTAATCCACAGCAGATTTTACGATTTTTCTTTCTTAATTGATTCCTGAATCCTCTCGATGTTTCTTGGATGCTATGATTTTTTTCATGGAAGTCTTCGTAGAGAACCGAAATTCCCTCGTAAATATAATTTAAATTAAGAGCATAACTTTTTTACGTTTTACATTAGTGGCCAGATTACTTATCAGGAAATACAAATCTATTGCGATATTAGGAAATTTCGGAGTAAAAGCATACCGATTTTCAAACTACTTATCGTTTGGCTCAAATGTTAAGTTTCGATACTGTAATAGAAATATTTATCTAATTATGAGTATTATTAACTAAAATTCAGTTTTAATGCAATTGATAATATTTCGCAGAAACAAACGTCCAACTTTTGTGTGTCTTCTTCTCTCTTCTTTCCGTTTTGTTGCAGTCTTCTTCTCTCTTCTTTCCGATTTGTTGCAGTCTTCTTCTCTCTTCTTTCCGTTTTGTTGCAGTCTTCTTAAAGAAACCACGATTTCCTTGTATTGTTTTGCATATTGACCAGTGTTTAATGTTTCATCACAGTAATAATTAAGTTCATGTAAAATAAACGTCAATAAATTATTTTTTTTTTCACAAATTAATTGTATTATATTAAGCATGAAATTATTAAATTAATTGTGTTGATGGTAATATTTCTTTGGTCCTTGAATCAACCCTTCATAGAGATTTAATGATCAATCGATGACAAACAATGGTAAAAAATTGTGAACGTTTCTTTAACATAGTGTAACTAAGATTTCAAAACTCCATAATTCAAGGAAATATTTTGCAACTTGAACTTGAACTTTGAACTTTAATTGTATGACGTCAATTTACACAATGGAATGTTAGTGCAAACGTTATAAACACCGTAATCTCACGTTTAACTGTTTAACTGGTAAATTAGTGTCAATGCATGGTTGAAGATCTTATTTTGGTTGCTTCGTCTCTTGCTTAAAGTTGTTCATGTCAGAGTTGGATGGTTATAAAATATACATTTTCGTTTAATAGGTTGACTTTTCATAGTCCTGATCATGCAAATAAAAATTATTACGTGCCACGTGGCATTTTGTCAAACGAAAATTAAACTACTTTACTTTGAACAAATAAAAATACTAATTTAGTTCGTTTGAGTTGATTTTTTATGAATGAAGCTACAAATCTTCTTAGGCTTGGTAGTTTGATGTGTTTTTCAGGATTTGCGTTGATGTTGACTGTAGAACATAATTTTCATATCTTCTTATCTTGACTCTTCTTGGTATTTCTTGAATCTGAGGATCTGTATTGTTTTTTTAAATATACAAAACATGAACTCATCACAGTACACTTTTTCACAATAGTAATGCTGGTTCATTTATATTTCTTCTTTCTTGCATACGAGTTAATTTTGATCAGGATCTTCATGACACTTTATTGTAATTATTGCAAAATAATTTATATTTAGTTTTGTGAATATACAAAGTGACATTTACATAAAAACTTCAGGTTTGTTAAAATATGCCTTATAATTACGTAGTATGTCATAAAAGTAAATACAACAAAGGTTCTGATTTTTTGTAAAAGAATATAAGATTTTATTTTATCGTAATAGGATAAGATCCTCAGATAAATATTGATAAAATAGCTCTTAAAAGAATTTGAGCTTTTGAAGCGTCGAAATGAAATTCCTAGAACAAAAAAAGCGTTTTCAGAAATAGTGTACACATTAAAATATCATATTTACCATACAAAGTCTATAAACGATGTTCATCTGAATCAAAAGGGTGCTTAATTACAATCAATAATTGTAGTCTACATGGCTTTAAGTTGCAGAATATTTGCCAAAAAGAAATGAAATACTGAAGGTTATTCTTACTGCGATGGACTTAAAACGGAGTTTTATTTCATCATTAGGAGTTATAGAATGCAATAAAATTATAGTCAGTAGATTTTGTATATGAAAACAATTAAAACGAAGTTTATGATAATAAGAGTAATATAGTAACACAAACCTTCTTTAAAGCGTTCGAAGACTGCAGGTGCACTGGGAGTGACTTCTGACAAGATGATGTGCAGAAGAGGTGTGGTGTGGAGAGGCAATCTGCACCAGTCTAGCAGCTGCAGGATAGATTCCCACATTTCTGCAGCTGGAACAAAATAACAGTAGCTTGAGTACTATTATCCTAGAGTATTCGAAGGCTGCAGGTGCACTGGGAGTGACTTCTGACAAGATGATGTGCAGAAGAGGTGTGGTGTGGAGAGGCAATCTGCACCAGTCTAGCAGCTGCAGGATAGATTCCCACATTTCTGCAGCTGGAACAAAATAACAGTAGCTTGAGTACTATTATCCTAGAGTATTCGAAGGCTGCAGGTGCACTGGGAGTGACTTCTGACAAGATGATGTGCAGAAGAGGTGTGGTGTGGAGAGGCAATCTGCACCAGTCTAGCAGCTGCAGGATAGATTCCCACATTTCTGCAGCTGGAACAAAATAACAGTAGCTTGAATACTATTATCCTAGAGTATTCGAAGACTGCAGGTGCACTGGGAGTGACTTCTGACAAGATGATGTGCAGAAGAGGTGTGGTGTGGAGAGGCAATCTGCACCAGTCTAGCAGCTGCAGGATAGATTCCCACATTTCTGCAGTTGGAACAAAATAACAGTAGCTTGAGTACTATTATCCTAGAGTATTCGAAGGCTGCAGGCGCACTGGGAGTGACTTCTGACAGGGTGATGTGCAGAAGAGGTGTGGTACATGCAAACTGCACCAGTCTAACAGCTGCAGGAATCGCACATCTCTGCAGTTGCAACCACAAAACAGTAACTTGAGTACCATTTACTAGGCCCTACTATGAAGCCCGTTCCAAAATCCCGGCAGCCGTAGAATAATTTCCATCTAAATACACATTTTTTAGGATTGTTATAAGTACTTATTTTTAAACTTGGAGTTTCATATACTCAAAAATAAAATTAAAACATGGATAAACGATATAACTTTAAAGTACTTCCCACCTATAAAATGTGGTGGTCGTATATAGATTTCTCTGGCGTAATCTTGGCTCTTAGTTTTCAATTTGTATCACATTTGAAGGATAAAATTAGTAAATAAAAACATCATTATTCATATTTTTACTATAAATAATTATTATCCGTAATAAACTAGTATTTAGCACTAGCAGTTCGAGAATTATTAATTGCATTAGTAATGTAGTGTCGTTGTAAATTATGCCATCGTGTAAGTGCTTATGCTAACTTCTATTGTATAAATGGTGTTACCGTGTATAAATAAATCTAATAAATAAATAAATGAATAAATAAATCTGAATTAGTTAATAGTTCTCAATAAAAAATAAAAAAAAATACATATACATTCTCTAAATATACAGTGTATATTTAAAACGAATATGGAATAGAAACAGATAATTCCAATAGTGTATCATATGAGTATATGGTAACCGATTGAGTATCAAACACCAAGAACCAATGAAGCAGTTTTCAAATATTTTCGGCGTTTTTGCCAAAATGTACTTCTTGATGTCCCGAGTAAACCGTTGTGATAATTTTATGTTCCGGTTCTCATAATATATCACTAGTAATAAAATACTACAAAGTGTCGGGGGAAAAAGTTTAGACAGTTTGGAGCTCTACAGAAAAAATTACCAAACTACTTAGAAAAACACGAATTATATCTTAAATTCCTTTGTTTTATTCTAAGTATTCCTGTAAGAACAAAAACAAAATAGCTAGCTTATAATTTTTTTTATGCCAGTTGGAAGGTGAAAAACCCCTGTTTTTTGGGTATCAAAAACCATCTTAAGACTTTAAACATTCGCACAATGTAAACTAAACGTCAGAACTTCATCAAACGTTAATACGATAAAGACATATATATAATGAATTAATTTGTATAGTTTCAGAATTTTTACATAACCCAAAAAGTTATTGTTAATTTAGTAAGTTAATAAGTTAAATTATAAGTTAACTTTTTCTCAAAAACTGCAAACGCTAGAAAAAAAATCGAAAAGCTTTTTTGAAGGTGATTTTTTTTGTAGTTGGAATATTCATAATGCTCAACCACATTGTTACGCATAGTATTTATATCAATCAACATAAAACAGGATGATCTGCAAGGGGTGCAGACGCCATCGCCCGCTCAGGGATCCAGTGCAGTGTTGCCACGATGGACCCTGTCCGAGTAGTACACAGGTCTCTAATAACATCCTGGACCGTGCCTTCAGTGTCAGGTAGGCAATATGATTGCTGTGTCTAGATTGCCTATCTCACCCTGCCGCTATAAACTCGCTAAGCCTACAAAACATACTAATATACAGTGATATCCTACAATTAGTAATTTACTTTATTAATATGTTATTTTTTCGTGGTTCGTGTCTTATGCTCGTAGTGAATTTGGTATCATACTGCCCACTCCCATCTAAGGGAGTAAGATTTTATTTGGTTTGATTACCAGATTCTCGTAAGTTTTGAAAGTGTAAAAGGCGAACGAATAAAATAAAATTGTTAACGTCATACTTCAAAAATATAATCCAAACCTTTTATTTCTTAATTTGTTAAATGCAATTGCATTCTTATTTTACTTTTGTTGAAGTCATTAGCAATAGTGCACATTAAAATCTGTGATTTCTTTACATATTGACCTCGATGATATTTTAGAGTGACCGAAATTTAAGATCTTTAGAGTAAAGAGAAATAAAAAGTTAGTTGCTCAAACCTCCCTGTTGACACGGGAGTTGCATCTTCGAAATATTACAGTGTAGGCGAGTAAACATCCGCTAAAGTAAACTTGAATTAATTATGAAATATACTCGTAACTATTTTTTAAGCAGATACCTTGTAATCAAAAGCTAATAATTATCCCATGCCAGAAAGTATAACGTAATGTTAATGAATATTTATCGCACGAGAGCTGAGTTTGTAGTTTGCAGGTAGGAGAGTGGAGTGTGGTGTGCAATGGAAGTAATTGATTAGAAACAACTGATAATCACAGGTTAGCTATCTGCGGCGAGTTTATAGCAGTCATAAAGATTTATGGCAGTACCTCCCTGCAACAACCAGTTCCACCGCCAATGGCCGTTGTGACGGCTCGACCAATGAGAGAGCTCCTCCACGCACAGCGACTCCCCATTGGTCTACACAACTAATTATACACTCCTTTCCCAGAACATTCGCAACAATTACAGAATCATCGTAAAAGTAATAATGTTACCTTTCGACTTATTGTTGTTTTAATAACATGAAAACAAACCCTTTTACGACTCTCTTTAACGACACACGAAGCTTTCCCTCGGCTCGCTCTCACAATAGTCTTGCAGTTGCAATTGTGTGCACATTTAATCCGCCCAGACCACCTAGTCTTTATTGCGAGTGCATTGTAATTTATAATATAAAAAACATCATCATTAGGGCTTCTATGTACCTCTTAATTGTTGCCTTGGCACGGTTAATTTAAATTTGTTTTTTAAGACACAATTTGTCGATGTTACAATCGCAACTGGTTAAATAACTGCAATACGCAAGCGAAAATGTAGATGTGTATGAATTTGTGCACATTAATTAAAAATTAAGGTACTATGACATTGCTTATAATATGCTTAGATGAGATTAAGAGTAGTCATCGAAGCATTTTGTTTTCCTAATTGGAACACAAACACACGACACAAAGTGTTATCAAAGTAGTATTATTAAAGTAGTTGTATTATTGTGAAAACTAAATAACTAGATTTCTAAATAATTGGTGACAATGAACATTTTTGCGTAGTTGGGAATCATATTTATTTACGCAAAAGTTAAGTTAAGTTAGTTATTACATATGAACTATTTTTATCCCCATCTGAGTCCATAAACTTGTTATGCTGATGCAATCTGTTGAACTGTTGATAAGTGAGGGGAAACCTACTATTTATTCATAAATGTCTCAAACATTAGCCATACACATTTTCTCGTGTATTCTGTTACAAATTTATTGTTTATTTTATACTGTTTCTACAGAAGGATTTCACCCTTAGTAAAATAGTTTTCATTAGCTTAACATGGCAACATTAAAAGGCTTGGGGCAGAACCGACGATCGGTGATACTAATAGTCATACAATCTTTTATATTCTCTGTTATCAACTAGAATATAGGTAAGCGTAAGAACAAATTATTTTATTTAGATTTTATTCTACTATTTAGGCTTTGAAAAAAACTTACACTACATATCAGGGCTCTCCTAAACATAACTGCTTCATATTGGTAGCATAGTCAAGCATCTGTTGTATGATGTAAATTTTTACATTTTATCTTCAAAATGTTCCATCACAATTTTTGTAATTTTTGAAAGTGATTTTATAAGGCCGGTGAAGTTTAGATATAAATAAGTCTTGCTCATTTGAGCTTAAAAAGTAAGGACAATTTGAATTAGGTTCCAGAAATACATAAATTTAAATCTAATCACATAGAGCTACAACATCTATTTTACCTAATATTTCCCTTAATTATATTGTTTCTATTGCAATTTATTTAAATAGGCCTACATAATCAATGAAGGAAAACAAAATCAAGAACAAAATTAATTGAATTAACCAGTTTAAAGTTTAAGGATCTAAGCTATAGGTTTGTTTAGGTTTAAAGCCTAACAAGAAAATTTTACACTTTTATTTCCAAAGAAGGATACAATAACTTTTGCAGTGTGTTCTATAGAGTTTAAATTAATAAGTCATGTGCACTCTCAAGTAGAAAACGCATAAACGGGTAAAAGTATAACTTAGGATGGTTCAAACTAATTTAAAAATAACGAGTTTTAGTGAATATCCACACACAAAACCGAATATCAAACTAGCCTAGTAAGTTAGTATAAAATGAGCATTAATAAAATAAGAACTCTTAAGACATTGGCAAATACAAATACAATTTGTTCAGTTATTGGAATAATAGTAATACTAATATTAGAACACCTGTGGTTATTGTTTAAACAGGATGAAATAAATATACCCAATTTGGTCCCTCAAAATATTTAAGTGTTATTTGGTAAACACCCCTACCGCAGTAAATCTGTAGACTAAGCGAATTTTCATTTATGTACCTGTCTGGATTTCCACTAAAATATCCACTTAAAATTATCAGATCTATTCCCTGTTAAAATAACATTAATTATTTAAATGAGTATTTAGATTTACTTCAATGGCAATTGCTACTGTACTTCCCTGAAAATGAACTGTATTCGCTGAAAATGAGTACTGACCATCTTTTAACAAATATAATTACAGCTTGTATTTATTCTCGATAGTCATCAAATACCAGCACAGTATGTACTAAGCAATGAAATTTAGGGCATGACTGCAACCAACATTAATAATAACTTATTTTAGTAATATTTGTTTTACACATTTACCTTATGTATCGTATCACTGTTATGTATCCCTGTAGTTTATAGTTCACCGTTGGTGAATTGTTGAGTCACACTGGTATCTCTATGCTTGTTAT